CCATAATCACAGATAAAACAATTTACCACAACAGACCAGACATCACACTCATTGACAAACACAATAAAATCACATACATTATAGACATAGCCATTCCAAACACTCACAATGTACAAAACACATGCACTGAAAAAATTAGCAAGTATACAGAACTCGCTCAGGAAATAAGGCATCTGTGGAGGATGGATAGGGTGCTTATTGTACCTGTCGTTCTCTCCTGTACAGGTGTGATACCAGACACACTACACAAAAGCCTGGGAACATTACAATTGAGTAGAAATTCATACATCACACTACAGAAGGCCACTATATTGAATACATGCCATATTGTTAGGAAATTCCTGAATACAGACACTGACACATTTATTTAATTTTAGTTCTTGGTTGCTATGCCTTGACTCTGGTCCAGCATAGTACACAGCCACCAGTGTGAACCGAGTATAACCCACTAAACCCAACATAAATTAAAATATTAATAATTTAAGAGTAATTTACTCAATTATTATAGAGACATAGATTAAACTTTATAAACTGAAGTTAAAATGTTTCTTAATAAGTAATACATTTATATAAGGTAACATTTAATTTGAAAAATGATCTTATTTGTTAATTTTAATACATAGTAGCATTCCTTAGAACATTTTATAACTGTCCCTATTATGATAAACCCTTTAAAAGACCTAGAAACAAAAGCTTTTATAAAAATTTTTACATATTCACATTAAATAACCAATGAAACAATTACAAATTAATTTATTTTAATAAGAGTATTATTATTAGTCACTAATATAGAGATTTAACAAAACAGTTATTAATGATTTTAAAGTATTAATCATACTGAACAATTTAATAAATACTCTTTTAGTTTAAAATTTTCTATTACAATAGAAGAAAAATCTTTATTTTGTAAAGAAGTAAATATTCATAATAAATGTATGAAATTAAAAGCAAACTTAATTTGATCACATTTCTTATTTTTTTAAATCTGTACATCAGGATGTATGTTATAAAATCATATAATAGTATCTTGATAGAACTATAGATGTTTTAACAAGATTTCAAAACTCTATAGTTGATTATATTCATAACAAACAATTAAACTGGTATGGTCATGTTCGGAGGATGGAATAAGGTAGACTACCACAACAGATATGGATTCCAACAGGCAGAAGGAGGAGAGGAAGGCTGTGGACTACATGGATAGAGGAAGTAACAAAAGCTATGGAGCACAAAGGACTGACAGAGGAGGATTATTGAGACAGAGCAGAATGGAGAAGAAAATTTTGGGTACAGGAAGATGCTTAAGCATTATTTTTCATTCTCCGGTTAATAATCAGAATTTTATCCATTAGGCAAACAAAATTAATTGTGTGCAATAAGAAAGTTTAAAACATTTAATTAATAATAATAATAATAATAATTTAAATTATTATCAAATAATAAGTTATAGATTCCCCAGTTTTCCCTTTAAGGGTTTCCCACAAAATTTTCCCAGTAATATCTCTTCCACATCTTTCCTCAGTTGACTTGAAAAATCTCCATTTTTGGGAAAAATCCCCTTATTTGGCAACTTTGATATTGAAACTTTTGACATTGAAACTGAATGAGATGCCAAAAGTGCAATTTTATATATTGATGGCAATTATGAAAAGTATTCCTTATAAAATACTTTATGGCTTTGTGGATAGGTAAACTATTAACAAGTGTTTCAGATTTCAATGTTTTGGATTATGTTCTTGAATCATTTTGAACAATAAGAACAAGAAAGAAGAAATGCTTTTTAGATTTGGATTTGTTGTATTCATTTAAAGTAAAGAAATATATTTTTAAAGACTATTATAAAGTGTATTTGAGTGTACTTGTTGTTATTGTTACAAATTATATAAATTTAAATTAAGAATTATGAAAATATGTATATATATCAAAGTTTTCTTCATTATGTATTTAAATTTTTTTCTTTTTGTATCAATTTCAATTTTTCCATTTTTTGTTGTTGTTTTTATTCATCTTATCTCTTCTTCTTGCTATTCCATTTCATCTTTATTCATAGCATTTACAGTAATACTATCACTTTTTAAATTCAAGAGCCCAGAGTTAATAAAAATGTTCTGAAATCCTATTACCTGGGATTTTTTTTTTTATTGAACCACAAAAGTCCTAGGTAATAGAATTTCAGAGAATATTGAAGTTTTAAGATTTTAATCTTGGATATTCTTATATTATATAGGAGTAGAATTTCAATATATCCATTCTTACATATCATAGCATATTATAATAGGAGTACAGTTGAAAGATTAAATGTATTTTATATGAAACTGTTTATTCACGACATTGAATTCTGATGATTGAAATCTTTTTAGTACCAAAATGATGTCACAGTAGTGTTTTGTGTAAAATATATATTACTTTATTTATTATCAGTAATTTTATATGTAATAAATTCTTGATCAGTCATGATCAGGGTAAGTTAGGTGTCTAATTATCATAAAGAAAATCTGTTAAGAAGAAATTTTTACTAGCATGCAGAAAATCTATTAAATATTATTAATTATCTGGTTTTAATTTCAATATTAAAATAATTAAAAAGCCAACAAACATGCACCATCACTTAAAAATTCATATGTATGCATACTTTATTAAAATGAAATTCTACAATTATTTAAAATCATTTATTTCATTTAGCTAATATTATTGATTATTTTAATTTTCACAGAAAAATATTTGCATAAAGTAAATATTGGAATATTAGGGGATCTTTATTATATAGAACTATGAATCTGACATACAATACAATATGTTATGTATAAATTTCTTGTAAGTACTGTACTTTATATCAAGAATATTTGCTATGATCACAGTAAATATAAGCATCATTGACAGGTTAATAAAAAGAAATGAAAATGTATTTTATTTAAAATTTATTTAAAATTTTAAGTCTTTTTTAATGTATAATATATTCATTTATTTTTTAAGCTTCTATTCTATTATTTTCACTGTTTAATTTAATTTAATGTTTATTGATTTAAATTATTTCTTACAATGGGGAAACAATTTGGTTATATACAACAATGTTATTTAATTAATATACACAGTAATAAATTATCGCAAAAATCTAAAGATTTAGAAAAGAAGGAGAAGGTCTTATGTTGGGGCTGTCACCCCCAGACCCACTACAACTTATCAGCCACCTACAAATGGAGGATTCCCCTTGACTATTACTTGGTCCTCTATGTCTTTAACATCATGAAAAAATTATTCTACACTACTGATTAAGGATGTCTGTACTTATATAGTAATTCAAACCAACTTGTAAGTGCTAACAATTTTTCCAGTTTAGTTTCATGGACTTCATGTAGGCCTATGCTGCAACAACAATGATCAGTGTTTTAAAGGAGCTTTCGTGATTCCTCATTTAAATGTTTCTCAGAATATTTCTTGGAGTGATTTTTCATTTACAAATCATATTATTAAGCATTAATCCTGAGATCTTAGATACTAATTTTATTGTTTATAAGACAAACTATATTAGAAATCAGTTAATTTGTTTGATCAAAGATACATATGAACTTCTTTTAATGCTGTGTTTATATCTAAAATTCTCAGAATCTCAATCAAAGCATGTTCAGCTTTAGATAGTTATTTTGATAATAAAATATATTAAAACAGAAAAATATTCTTTTCTACTTATATATTAATTATATTAATATGTAATATTATATAAAATATACTGTAATATAATAATTTATTATGGTTATCTTTATGCCTGACATCATTTTTGATAAGTTTATGCGTTTACCTTTTAGGTAACGGTTTGGGTTTATTCATTATTTTTAAAATTCATTTAGAAATACATATTGAAAATTGCTAAGAAAAAATTTTGAATTTCTGTAAACTATCATTTTAAAAATTGCAAATAATACACACAAGAACTTTATTTTAATTGCGATTATATAATTATAACGTGTATATTTATTTATTAACCTTAAAATTTAATTTATATTGTAATACTTTTTATTTCATAATAAATTTCAATTTTATTTACAGTCTACAAACTTTGATCCATGCTTGGATGATACGATTATGTTTGGAAGAAGATTAAAATCATTGGGGAAAACAGTTCATGTAGATATCGTGGATAAACTTCCACATGGATTTTTGAATTTTTTGCCATTTTGTAAAGAAGCACACGATGGTTCTCGACTTTGTGTACAGAGAATTCGAGAAGCCTTACAACTCGAATCCTGAAAGGCATTACATTTTAGGGAAACAAATCAATATTTATAAGTTAAAAGTATGATAAATTCCATTGTTTAATTTTTTTTCTTACTCATCTATTAATAAAATAAATTTTTACTTACCAAATAGTTTCTATTTATCTGAAATTTTTTGCAAAAAATTTGCTACATCGATCATATTCTTTGTGATTGTTCTTCGATGTAAAACTAAAAAAATTTTAAAAATATAAATTTATATACTATAATATAAACGGTATATATATAATGCATCATATATTTGTTACTGAAATTTATATTTTTATGTTGTGTACTTATTGTTATATACGTCTCGAGTATATTACAAATTTGAAATAATTAAACAATAGCAATAATATATACATTTTTTATTTTGAAATATTTTTGCAAAATAATTTATTTTATTGTTAAATTATTCGTGATTAAATGTTAGTAAATAATATAAAACAATATAATTGTTTCATTATCAAAACCCTATTTATGTATTCTTAGATAACAATTAATACATAGCAATAGGAATTTTATGAAGAATTGTATGTCCACTTGTAGCAAAAATTTTGTGCAATGAACTTTTTTTAAATTAAAAATGAAAATTTAATAATAAAATGCTCACTTTAATGAGTTTTTAAGTTATGTTGTAAATATGTATTATTACATTAAAAGTTGTTTAAAATTATTTTAAACTGTTGAATATTAATGATTTAATAATAATAATAATAATAATTATCGTTGTTTTCTAAATACATTTAAATATTTTAAATATATGGAGTTTTTTAAATTTCTAATCCTGTTTGTGCAAGATTAAGTACAGTAAACAAACTCTGATGAAATTAAATTGTAAAACAAATAAGTTATTTATCAAATGAATAACTGTACATTATAGAAAAAGGGGATAAATATTAATTGCATTTGAAAATAAAATATTTAACAATGCTGATAAATTATTCAAATGAAAATGCAACAGTTATTAATTCAGATGAAATTAATAAGTCTTGCATTTATTTATTTTTACATTAAAACACTAGAATTTTAAATTATTGTTTTAATTGTAGTAATAATGCAATATTCTAATAAAATATTTTAACTCGTAATAATAATTAATTTTTCAATTAAAACAACAAGTTTTTAAAATCAAAAAATTCCATACTGAATTCACAAATGATGAAATTAAATTTAGATTACTGTAACATCAGATTTTCTTTTTTACGAACAAGTTACATTATAAGTACAGTACATTATATCAATATTTACTAAAACTATTAGGAGTTTTGTTTTCTTATTGACCAAATAATGTTTTAAGTTAATTCTGCTACCAAGGAAACTTAAATACAACTAAGTTTAGTCGTAATTAAAATTTGCTTCAGTTCTTTTAGGAATTTTGAAATTTTACGAAATTTTAATAGGGGAAAAAATTGTTTGAAACGTCAAACTTAACGAAGAAAAGAATTATAGTATCTATCTATCTATGTATATACTTACAAAAATACTATAACTTCTATAATTTCTATACATTATAATGTGCATATTATATTAACAAAAAACTCATATTGTAACTATCTTCGGAGAAAATGTTTTGTATTTAAATGAACTCGTAATAAGTTTAAGAAAAATGATAAGAAATAGTGTATAAACGATTCTTTTGATGATGATTCTTTATAAATTTCTCCTCACTAAATGCATTCTTGCTGTCGAATAATAATAATTTTCAATTTATTATTATTATTTTATTAATAGTTTTTATTTTTACATTTTCAAAAATTACTATTTGACAATGAAAGTGAAAAAATGTCATTCTTTTATGACATTTTGAAAGTTGTAAGAAGAATATATAGGATGAATTCCCAGTTTTTACATTTCTTGTTATTTAAATCAGTTTGGTTTATTTCTTAATTTATCATACAGATTCTTCTTTAAATAATTTCAACCTCATCTGAAAATATAGAATACTTTTATGTACGAATATTGCGATTCGTGGCATTCATTACTCGCGCATATTGACCGTGATTCCATTGCCAGTCATTCACTTATACTGCAATGGGCTTAATTGTGACGAAGCACTTAGGCTTTTATGAAAGTTGCTCTGCAATAATCAATCAATGAAATGTAAAAAATAAAATTTTTTTAACATGAAATTGTAGCACCTAAATAGGGCCATTTTCCTCAGAAGACCTTCCGGGAGGCATCCCTCCCGGCATATCGTCCACATGTCGCGTTGTCATAACCAAATAAACCAATCTAATATTTATTAATTAATAAAACTACGAGAACAAGAAATAAAGAGTACACTATTCAATTATTGTATTTTATAAATTACTGTGCGTAAACAATAAATTGTTTTCATTTAAAGGGAAAAGTTATCTAAAAAAGGAATATGCTTGTTTTCTTCAAAAAAGTATTCACTTTTTAAGCAGTTCAAAATTTTTTTAGGTTAAAAATTAACAATTTATTGATTTATTACGGAATAATTTGACACACAGTTTATTTAGTATTACATTTATATGAATTCTTTAATTTTTATATACAGTTTTCCAGCATGTGCTACAACTTAGCAGTAGTTAATTAATTAATTATTAAATTAAAAACACCTTTAGTTCTTCACACGAGTTAACTCGGGAAAGTTACATAGCGTTACATAAAACCAGGGCCTTTGGGCCCCGAAATTTGTTTTGGATTTTTGGAATGTTTTTTGTCTCCAAATTTTTTCAAAAATTTTTACCCGCGCGAAAAAATTTTATCGCGATTTTAATTTACCTTTAATGACGCACGATTAACACTTAATTGTTTTTTAATGCGATTTTTTTTATCAAATTTAATTAATTGTTCTAAAGTTCTAGTGCACCGATTTTACTTCGGTAAAGTTATTTAAAGCTAGTTTCTGATGTCAAAACGACCTCCAATAGTTTTTTAATTTTTTAATTAATATATTTTAGTATATATACGTTTAATTAAGTCGGGGGTCGGAAATCGCAATAAAAATTTTAATTTTTTAAAAATATTTAAAAATATACGGCCAGCTAGTATTCACCCTACTATAAACCCATCGCCTCCCGAGACTTCTATGAGAATGTCCCGGGAAATTCAACATCAGCTGTTCTCAAGGTCATCTAGCTGTAAGCACATTGACTCATCCGTGTCAAATTTCGCAGAAAGGCGAGACAATGGAAAATATAGTTTAAAGCCTTTTCTTTAAAATTAACGCATTTCTTTCGTTTTTTTCAGTTTTAAGTATTTTTTACGTTTAATTACATTCATATCAAAAATTGCTGGGAACTAAAGCGATTAAAGACATANTGAATAGAAATACATACATCACACTACAGAAGGCCACTATATTGAATACATGCCATATTGTTAGGAAATTCCTGAATACAGACACTGACACATTTATTTAATTTTAGTTCTTGGTTGCTATGCCTTGACTCTGGTCCAGCATAGTACACAGCCACCAGTGTGAACCGAGTATAACCCACTAAACCCAACATAAATTAAAATATTAATAATTTAAGAGTAATTTACTCAATTATTATAGAGACATAGATTAAACTTTATAAACTGAAGTTAAAATGTTTCTTAATAAGTAATACATTTATATAAGGTAACATTTAATTTGAAAAATGATCTTATTTGTTAATTTTAATACATAGTAGCATTCCTTAGAACATTTTATAACTGTCCCTATTATGATAAACCCTTTAAAAGACCTAGAAACAAAAGCTTTTATAAAAATTTTTACATATTCACATTAAATAACCAATGAAACAATTACAAATTAATTTATTTTAATAAGAGTATTATTATTAGTCACTAATATAGAGATTTAACAAAACAGTTATTAATGATTTTAAAGTATTAATCATACTGAACAATTTAATAAATACTCTTTTAGTTTAAAATTTTCTATTACAATAGAAGAAAAATCTTTATTTTGTAAAGAAGTAAATATTCATAATAAATGTATGAAATTAAAAGCAAACTTAATTTGATCACATTTCTTATTTTTTTAAATCTGTACATCAGGATGTATGTTATAAAATCATATAATAGTATCTTGATAGAACTATAGATGTTTTAACAAGATTTCAAAACTCTATAGTTGATTATATTCATAACAAACAATTAAACTGGTATGGTCATGTTCGGAGGATGGAATAAGGTAGACTACCACAACAGATATGGATTCCAACAGGCAGAAGGAGGAGAGGAAGGCTGTGGACTACATGGATAGAGGAAGTAACAAAAGCTATGGAGCACAAAGGACTGACAGAGGAGGATTATTGAGACAGAGCAGAATGGAGAAGAAAATTTTGGGTACAGGAAGATGCTTAAGCATTATTTTTCATTCTCCGGTTAATAATCAGAATTTTATCCATTAGGCAAACAAAATTAATTGTGTGCAATAAGAAAGTTTAAAACATTTAATTAATAATAATAATAATAATAATTTAAATTATTATCAAATAATAAGTTATAGATTCCCCAGTTTTCCCTTTAAGGGTTTCCCACAAAATTTTCCCAGTAATATCTCTTCCACATCTTTCCTCAGTTGACTTGAAAAATCTCCATTTTTGGGAAAAATCCCCTTATTTGGCAACTTTGATATTGAAACTTTTGACATTGAAACTGAATGAGATGCCAAAAGTGCAATTTTATATATTGATGGCAATTATGAAAAGTATTCCTTATAAAATACTTTATGGCTTTGTGGATAGGTAAACTATTAACAAGTGTTTCAGATTTCAATGTTTTGGATTATGTTCTTGAATCATTTTGAACAATAAGAACAAGAAAGAAGAAATGCTTTTTAGATTTGGATTTGTTGTATTCATTTAAAGTAAAGAAATATATTTTTAAAGACTATTATAAAGTGTATTTGAGTGTACTTGTTGTTATTGTTACAAATTATATAAATTTAAATTAAGAATTATGAAAATATGTATATATATCAAAGTTTTCTTCATTATGTATTTAAATTTTTTTCTTTTTGTATCAATTTCAATTTTTCCATTTTTTGTTGTTGTTTTTATTCATCTTATCTCTTCTTCTTGCTATTCCATTTCATCTTTATTCATAGCATTTACAGTAATACTATCACTTTTTAAATTCAAGA